TAAATGGGGAGTTTGAGGTGCTAAATTAAACTTAGATAATTAAGCTTGCCCTACATATTGTATTATGTTTCCGAAAAAAATATTTTAGTCCATATTTCGTCGCCGTTTAAAAAAATCTGGTAGTTTTGAGAAAAATTTCCAAATTACTTGCTAATTCGTACATATTGACTTTTTCATTTGTGATCTTCTTCGTTGCTATACATAATCACCTAATTATAGTAGAGAGTTGCAAACATAAAGCCCGGGCTAATAATTGTATACCCGATTTTTCAAATGTTACGGAGTTCTTGTGATAACTCAAAATATGTCCTGGAGTTCTTATGATAACTTTTGTTACTGCAAGTGTGTTTCTTGTGCTTAATTACGGCACGTTTAAGCGTATTTTATTAGTCAATAAGTGTGTAAATCATTATGAAGCATAGTACGCTTATCATTTGCACAAAAATTTGGTTATATAACGTTGGTTTTGATCGTGTTTTAGCTCCTAATTAAATTTGTGCGAAATCATATTGACATTATAAAACCCAACGAATGCACTAAATGTTTCTGTGTATACTGTTCGTCAACAAAAGTTTTATGTCATAAGTTTCCGCAAATGCAACATTGAGGCCATGTGGCAAAATTAAAACACGATCAATGAATATATCTGGAGAAGACATGAAACTGCTTTGGTGTACAGTCTACATAGGATAAACAGGTGCTAAGTTATATCTTTCAGGAACGACCGCCTCCGTGGTCGAGGGGTTTGAGTCGATGACTTCTAATCCAGTTACCTCTCTGGCGTGGGTTCGATCCCCGGGAGATGCTTTGGTAGTTTAGCACGGAGGAAGGTAGTCTAGTACTGGTGTAACTCTCCAGGAACGATGGAAACTACCCGCCCATATGACTGAAATACTGTTGGGAAAAGGCGTAAAATGAAACAAACAAACAAACAAAATTCTTCAGGAAAACCTGAATCAGCGGTCACCTGTATTCAGTAGTAACATGGCTTAAACCGCCAAGGAAAAAATATTTAAAACTTACACTTTTTTCTCAGATAACTTGTTTTAAGCAACCGCCTTTCTAAAGCAGACAATAAGTAGTTGGGCTTCCCTCAAGAAGCGGCTAAGTAAATTGTATCATTATATACCATGTAACGTATATAACCGGGATATCCTTCACACCCATGCACCCGAAATGTATGATCTTTTTATGAATAAAAATCAACCGATTACTACCGATCTCTTCGACAGATTTGCACGTGCCCTACGTGTTCGAGCGAAAGAAGTTCGACAATATATTTTTGTAATCAATTACAGCAAAAGTTGTTGCAAAATTTCCACTAGGACTCCAACTTTGATAAGAAAAATGTATGCAGTAATTTTCCGAAATATGGAAATTGCTATACGTCATGTGATGCTACATTGGATTTAATAGAGAAAGGAACAAGGTCGATAAACGGCATGAACCTTACGGTGACTCACATATCTTATTAAAGACTTACTTTCTATCGTCATATCATTGTCATAGAACTTTATACGTTTCTATGACAAAAACTGATACCTTTTAGAAATTGAAATACCCGTTAAATACATAAAGACGACACCCACCTCATTAAATTTAGATAAGGGTAGTGCATACTACCTACTATTTTGCTGATAACCATTTACATGCATACTGATAGCATAGTTACTTAATGTTCTCTAAAACTGCCAGGAATAATGCATATATGACGAAATCATGCTTGAGTATTAAATTCAAAGCGTATTTTTATCCTGTAAGTAAATGCTCTACATCAAGTATGTTTACAGTCATTCCAATAAAATAAAACACACACACACACACACACACACACACAAGGACCAAAACAAACACAAAAAAACCCACAAGAAACGGAGGTAAGAAAAATATCTCTTGAACTGAAAACACGATCAAAACCAACGTTATATAACCAAATTATTTTGCAAATGATAAGCGTACTATATATGCTTCATAATGATTTACACACTTATTGACTAATAAAAATACGCTTAAACGTGCCGTGATTAAGCACAAAACACACTGGAAGAAACAAAAGTTATCATAAGAACTCCAGGACATATTTTGAGTTATCGCAAGAACTCCGTAACATTTGAAAAGTCGGGTATAAATTTATTAGCCCGGGCTTAATGTTTGCATCTCTCCATAATTATTAGGTAATTAAGTATAGCAACGAAGAAGATCACAAATGAAAAGGTCAATATGTACGAATTAGCAAGTAATTTGGTAATTTTTCTCAAAACTACCAGATTTTTTTTAAAAGGCGACAAAATATGGCCTTAACGATTTTTTCTGAAACAAAATACAATATGTAGGGCAAGCTTAATTATCAAAGTTTCATTTAGCACCTCAAACTCCCCATTTAAAGTTAAAAAAAAAACATTTTTTACGCGAGTTCTCCAAGTATATAGAAAAGTTTTCCACAGAAATCCGTAACGTTTTCCAGGAACTCCGTGACAGTTATCATAAGAACTCCAAACAAGTTATCATAAGAACTCCATCTTTCGTGTAACACTTCCTCCCCCGTGATAATGCATAGATCCCTGACATATCTAATTCTTATTATCAGATTAGTGGTTAAATCTATTGTTATTCAAATAAAAGATCAGAGTAGGAATATATCAATGCAGTTGTGTCTAGTGAATTTGGTGGTGAAGGTCATATTTCACACATCCTAAATTTCATGACTACATCAAAGGACAACACAGTAAGACTTTTTGTCAAAATCTAGATCAGCTGATATCAAAGTTCACTTTACATCTTAATCTGTGCACATGGTTCAAATTTCATAGCTGTACATCAAAGGACAAGAAAGTAGGTCACATCATCAAAATCTAGGTCACCTGATATCAAAGTTCAATTTTACAATTAAAACTGTGCACATGGTCAAAATTTTCATTGCTGTACATCAAAGAACAAGAAAGTAGGTCACTGTCCCCTTGGGCAAGGCAAAATTTTGACTCAAGGGTTTAATTCAAAACAATATTGATACAGGTCCACCAAACAACATTTCACATCAAATATCTAAGCTGTAGCTTTCTCCAATTCAGAAAACATTTGTTTTAGTTTCTGTTTTTAATATGTGTACATAACGAGAATCAATGCCCCTGGGCAGGGCCAATTTTGACACCAGGGGAAAAATTTGAGCAAATTTGGTACAGGACCTATAGATGATATTACATAGCAAACATCAAAGCTCTTTGTCTTGTACCTTCAGACAAGAATTATTTTTTTTATTTTTTACTTCATGTTCATAGTAAAAATCAATGACCCCTGGGGCGGGGCAAATTTTGACCCCAGGGCTATAATTTGAACAATCTTGGTAGTGGTTCACTTCGCAAAGTTTCATGCCAAATATTTAACCTCTAGCCTTTGTCAATTCAGAGAAGATTTTTCAAGTTTTTACTTTATAAATATAAGAAAAACAATCGCCTCTGGGGCAGGGCAATTTTAACACTAGGGGAATTATAAAAAAAATTTAGTAGAGGACCCATAGATGATATTATATACCAAATATCAAAGCTCTAAGCCTTGTACCTCAGACAAGTAGATTTTTTAATTTTTTACTATATGTACATAGTGAAAATCAATGACCCCCGGGTTGGGGCCAATTTTGACCCCAGGGCTATAATTTGTACAATCTTGCTAGAGGTTCAATACAAAATATTTCATGCAAAATATCTAACCACTAGCCATTGTCAATTTTGAGAAGATGATTTTTTAAGTTTTTACTATATACATATAAGGAAAACCTATGACCCCCGGGGCGGGGCTAATTTTGACACAAGAGGCAAATTTGAACAACTTTGGTAGAGTACCTATACGAGGGCTGTTCAATAAATACGTGGAAAAATGTCACTATTTCCTTATTTTCCAAGTTAGCTGAATAAAAATTATACAGTAATAGAGACAAACATATGTTTTGAAAATATACAGCAAATATTGCCGTTCTGGCATGAATCATATGTTAACTAACGGTCGTTATGGTAACCACATGTAGCGATTACCGGCCCACTTTTGTTCATTTTTACAAATAGTCACTGGTTAATAATGACGTCGCATTTTAACGTTTACCTTGCGATTTTCACCAAATTTTGCATAATTTACGTGCAATATGTTGGCGTTACGCACATGACGTCATGTTAGTGTGTGACATCATTTAGTCGTTAAGCGGCCATATTGTTTAGTGCGTATGCGTTAAAATGGCATCGGAACAACCATCTTCAATAAAATTTTGTGTTTTGAACGGGCTTTCAAAGAAAGAAACAATGTTAAGATTACAAAAAGCATATGGTGATCAGGCGATGAAGAAAACAGCAATGTACAAATGGTATGCCCGATTTCTAGGCGGCCAACAAAGCATCCATGACGACAAACGCAGTGGACGTCCCAACGTAACGTCAAATCACGTCGCTGTGACAATGATCGAGAACGTCAATTTCCTATGAATATTAAAAATATGGCAGCACTTTTCCGCGTATTTGTTGAACAGCCCTCGTAGATGATATCATATAACAATTATTAAAGCTCTAAGCCTTGTACCTTCAGACAATATGATTTTTTGATTTTTACTACAATAATATGTACAAAGTGAAAATCAATGACCCCCGGGGCGGGGCCAATTTTGACCCCAGGGCTATAATTTAAACAATCTTGCTAGAGGTTCACTACACAATGTTTCATGCAAAATATCTAACCTCTAGCATTTGTCAATTTAGAGAAGAAATTTTTTTTAAGTTTTTACTTTATACATATAAGGAAAACCTATGACCCCCGGGGCGGGGCTGATTTTGACACTAGAGGGAAAATTTGAACAACTTTGGTAGAGTACCTATAGATGATATAACATACCAAATATCAAACCTCTAAGCCTTGTACCTTCAGACAAGAAGGTATTTTAAGTTTTTACTATACAGTGTATGTACATGTGGCATAAAAACCAACACATTTATGGTCGACATATTAACAAAGATACACATGAATCTCTTTTCAAATTATTGAGTAACTTGTCATATAATAAATCGTTTACAGCAAGGTTATGTTCATTTTTGTTACCATAGTAGCAAAAAGCAGATATTTTTACACATTTTCCAACCTTTTCACTAACATGAAGTTATCTGACTTCCACCTTTCTTACACACTATTTTCAGGTATCACAGTCTAGACTGAAATTTTCAAGTTTAATTGTTTTACTTTACCTTGAAAAAATACCATACCGTGACTTTACCCACTGAGCTATCCAGCACTTATACACTATCTCCCCTAGTTAGTGAACATAATAAAATTGAGCCGTGTCACGACAAAACCAACATAGTGGCTTTGCGACCAGCATGGATCCAGACCAGCCTGCGCATCCGCGCAGTCTGATGTTCGCTATCAGTTTCTTTACTTGTAATAGGGTTTGTAAGCGAACAGCATGGATCCTGATCAGACTGCGCGGATGCGCAGGCTGGTCTGGATCCATGCTGCTCGCAAACGCATTATGTTGGTTTTATCATGACGCGGCTCATATCAATACAATTTATCAAGATAGTATGCATTTTTTAAACTCCCCACAAATCCACACATCTTCTAATATTTTTCGGAACAATTTTTATAAACAAGTGGGCCATGATGGCCCTGAGTCGCTCACCAGAAACAACTGCTTTTCAGTGTTGAAAATTATCCATTGTCAATATTTTCTAATAGTAAATTTAATCATAGAATATCTTTAAACAATAATTTGAAGAAATGCCATGACCTGGGGCATTTATTTTTAGCTTTAGCTTAAACAGGGCCAATCAAATTAATATGAGTAAACTTGATAATTTGTTTGTTTTGGGTTTTATGTCACATCTACGCAGTATAGATCATATCCCTCCGTTCCAGTTTTACTGGTGGAGGAAGACCACACTGGTGCCCTTCCGTGCATTATTTCGCACGAACGTGCACCTGAGTAGAACCATCGACGTTCTTGTAAGCTAGCTGGATAGCTTCCTCACATGATAGAAACCAACAGCGGTGAGGGAAACTTGATAAAAGACTACCTAAGATTAGTGACAAGGTTTGGTGATCAGCCATCAATTATTTCAGTAGGAGAATGATGTTCAAAGGTTTTTCTATTTTTAGCTTTAGTGGCCCCTAAAAGGGGCAAATCAATTAATATGAGCAAACTTGATAAAGGACTACCTAAGAATGCTACAAACAAAATTTGGTGATTATCCATGCATTAGTTCTGAAGAAGGAGACTTTAAAGGTATTTCTATTATTAGCTTTAGCGGCCCCTAAAAGGGGCCAATCAAATTAATATGAGCAAACTTGATAAAGGACTACCTTAGTCTACCTAAGAATGCTACAAACAAAATTTGGTGATCATCCATTTATTAGTTCCGTAGATACTTTAAAGGTATTTCTATTTTTAGCTCTGTTGGCCTCTAAAAGGGGCCAATCAAATTAATATGAGCAAATTTGATACAAGACTACCTAAGAATGCTACAGACAAAATTTGGTGAGCATCTATAAATTAGTTTTGCAGGAGACGTCTAAAGGTATTTCTATATTTAGCTTCAGCGGCCCCTAAAAGGTGCCAATCAAATTAATATGAGCAAACTTGATAAAAGACTACCCAAGAATGCTACAGACAAACTTTGGTGATCATCCATCAATTAGTTCTGTAGGAGTTGTCTAAAGGTTTTTTCTATTTTTAGCTCTAGAGACCCCTAAAAGGGGCCAATCAAAGTACATGTAATATGAGCAAACTTGTTTAAAAGACTACCTACAAATGCTACAGACAAAGTTTGGTGATCATCCATCAATTAACTCTGTAGAAATAGACATTTTAAGGTATTTCTATTTTTAGCTTTAGCGGCCCCTAAAAGGGGCCAATCAAATTAATATGAGGAAACTTGATAAAAGACTACCTAAGAATGCTACAGACAAAGTTGAGTGATCATCCATTTATTAGTTCTGTAGAAGAAGATGTTTAAAGGTTTTTCTATTTTTAGCTGTGTTGACCCCAGTACAGACAAAATTTGGTGAACATCTATCAATTAGTTCTGCAGGAGACGTCTAAAGGTATTTCTATATTTAGCTTCAGCGGCCCCTAAAAGGTGCTAATCAAATTAATATGAGCAAATTTGATAAAAGACTATCCAAGAATGCTACATACAAAATTTGGTGAAAATATAATGACTGACTTATGCTCCGGACAAGCTAATAAGGGGACGCCAACGCCGCCGCCGACAAAAGTAACCCCTATATGTCGTCTTTTGAAGGCGACACAAAAATGATAGCCCTGCTTTGGATATAAGAAGTATTATCATACTCAGATTTTCCAAATTAATTATTTCATAAAAATAGCATTCCTTTATCAAACAAGAACTGTCGGAGGACAATAAGGCTTGACTATTAGAAAAAGTTATCACAAGGGTGTTTTATTGAGTATAATAATGCTTACCTATGAATACAAAAAATTGATGGAAAAGGTACAAAGGCTTGTTATTAAGATGTTTTATCAAGTAAATCACTGCTTTATTCTTATGAATGCATAAAATTGTCCCAAAAAAGGCACAAACCCTTCAGTAGTTATGGAGATAACAGCTTACAAGCAAAACTTTACCATGAATTTCTAAGTTGAAAAAGGGGAGAAAAATCAGCCTAAATGCAAGATAGAGTTATGGATCTTGGTCAGTGACCTACAATTATGACCCTAAATGCATATGTGAAGTTTTAAATAAATATCTTTAATAGTTATTGAGATATGTAAAACTTGCATGTAAACATTAACCAAGAGACTAAGTAGAAAAGGGGAGATAAATCAGCCTAAATGCAAGATAGAGATATGGAACTTTGTCAGTGACATACAATTATGACCCTTCATGCATATATGAAGTTTCAAATCAAAATCTCTGATAGTTATTGAGACATGTAAAACTTACATGTAAACATTAACCAAGAGACTAAGAAAACAAGAGCACCGCTAGGCGGGGCATTATATGCCCGAAAGTACTTTAGCTGTAGGTTGATTAATGCTTGAATTATTGAGCAAAAACTGTTTCCAGTTTAAAGGTGATAGTAACCTTGATCTTTGACCTTATGAACCCTAAATCAATAGGGGTCTTCTACCCAATATGGACAAACATCCTATGAAGTTTGAATACTGTGGGCCAAATGGAACTTAAGTTATGCTCCGTAAACCATTTTCAGTATTAAGCTAATAGTGACTGTGACCTTGTGACCCCAAAATCAATAGGGGTCTTCTACCCAATATGGACAATCATCCTATGAAGTTTGAAAACTGTCGGCCAAATGAACTTAAGTTATGCTCCGGAAACCATTTTCAGTATTAAGCTAATAGTAACCTTGATCTTTGACCTTGTGAACCCAAAATCAATAGGGGTCTTCTACCCAATATGGACAATCATCCTATGAAGTTTGAATACTGTGGACCAAATGGAACTTAAGTTATGCTGCGGAAACCATTTTCAGTTTTAGGGTAATAGTGACCTTGACCTTTGACTTTGTGACCCCAAAATCAATAGGGGACTTCTACCCAATATGGAAAATCATCCTATGAAGTTTGAATACTGTGGGCCAAATGGAACTTAAGTTATGCTCCGGAAACCATTTTCAGTATTAAGCTAATAGTGACCGTGACCTTTGACCTTGTGACCCGAGAATCAATAGGGGTCTTCTACCCAATATGGACAATCATCCTATGAAGTTTGAATACAGTGGACCAAATGGAACTTAAGTTATGCTGCGGAAACCATTTTCAGTTTTACAGTAATAGTGACCTTGACCTTTGACCTTGTGACCCCTAAATCAATAGGGGTCTTCTACCCAATATGGGCAATCATTCTATGAAGTTTGAAAACTGTGGGCCAAATGGAACTTAAGTTATGCTCCGGAAACCAAATTGCTAACTGACGGACAGACAGACGGACGCCAGGGGGTATAACATAATATGTCCGAAATTCTGTCGGGCATATAAAAAGGGGGGAGATAAATCAGCCTAAATACATGACACAGATATATACATATGAAGTTTCAAGTTTGTATCTTTAATAGTTTCAGAGATATGCAAAACTTGCAGGTTAAACTTAACCAAGAAAAGGAGATTTTTTTTAGTACAAAAGGGAGCATAATTCAGTCAAAATACATGGCAGAGTAATGAATCTTGAGATGTGACCTTCAATTATAACCATAAGTGTAAAGTTTCAAGTAAATATTTTTGAAGACATTTCACCTTTATTTTATTTATTTATTTATTTTTTTTATTTGGGTTTTACGTCACACCGACACAGTATAGGTCATTTGGCGACGTTCCAGCTTTACTGGTGGAGGAAGACCTCAGGTGCCCCTCAGTGCATTTTTTCAGGCAGGAACGGGCACCTGAGTAGAACCACCGACATTCCGTAAGCTAGCTGGATAGCTTCCTCACATAAAAGAATCCAAAGTCCCTGTCGTAATTCAAACCACAGTAGAGGGGCAAGTGGTTTGAAGTCAACGACCTTAACCACTCAGCCACGGAAGCCCCCCTTTAACCTTTAACCAAAATTTCTAAGTTTCAAAGGGGCAAATAATTCTGCAAATATTGCAGGCAGAGTTATGTAACTTTGCAAACTGATGTACATTGTTACTATAAAAAAAGTATTGTAAATTTCAATTGATCTCTAGCAATAATTGAGATATTTGACTTTACAAAAAACTTTAACCAAAATTTCTAAGTTAACAAGAGCCATGTCAACATGGCCATCCCCCGCCGAATGTGTTTGCTCATTAGAAGAATGTATATGTAGTACAGCAGAATAATTCCATTTTAAGAGGTCTTTTGGTAATGAAAACTGATGGCTATAGTGATTACAGATTTGAAACCTATGTGAATACTGATGGCTGAAAATAACAAAGGGCAATAACTGAAAAATAATGCAGGGTAGGTTATCATTCTTGTGTGCTGCATCCCTCCTCAGTAAAATCTATCCACCTATGAAGTTTCAAGTTGATACCTCAAATACTTATTGAGAAAAAAATTGAATTGAAAAATTAAGTATGAAAAATAACAAAGGGCAATAACTCAAAAATTATAAAAGGTAGAGTTATCATTCTTGTGCACTGCACACCTCCTGAGTTAGATCTATGCACCTATGAAGTTTCATAATGATATCTCAAAGGCCTTTTGAGTTATGCTCTGGACAAAATTAATTTTGAAAAATAAAAAAAGGGCAATAACTAAACAATTATGCAGGGTAGAGTTATCATTCTTGTGCATTGCACTCTTCCTCAATGAGATCCATCCACCTATGAAGTTTCAAGTTGATACCTCAAATACTTTTTGAGATAAGCTCCGGACAAAATAGTATGAAAAAGAACAAAGGGCAATAACTCAAAAATTTTACAGGGAAGAGTTATCATTCTTGTGCACAGCATTCCTCCTCAAAAAAATCTATCCACCTATGACATTTCATGTTGACATCTCAAACACTTTTGAGTTATGCTCCACTCGGGTGAAAAATTAGGTATGAAAAATAACAAAGGGCAATAACTCTAAAATTATGAAAGGTAGAGTTATCATTCTTGTGCACTGCACTCCTCCTGAGTGAGATCTATGCACCTATGAAGTTTCATTTTGATATCTAAAAGGCTTTTTGAGTTATGCTCTGGACAAAAATTAATTTTGAAAAATAACAAAGGGCAATAACTCAAAAATTATGCAGGGTAGAGTTATCATTCTTGTGCACTGCACTCCTCCTCAATGAGGTCTATCCACCTATGAAGTTTCAAGTTGATTACTCAAATACTTTTAGAGATATGCTCCGGACAAAAATGTCAGACGGACGAAGGACGGACGGAAGGTCAGCCGCACTCACAGGACAGTAATTATGTGGCTAGAGGTTTTCTCTTTGATGTCATTCCTTCCGTAATGCTTTTATGTGGCTATTTTCTTTTGTGTGGCTAAAAAGAACAATAGAGAGAACAAAAGAGTAGCCACATTATTACTCTCCTGTTTTTAACGGACGGACGGACAGAGACTATTTCTATATCCCCCGCCGCCTTTTCGGCGGGGGATAAAAAGGGGCATAATTCTGTAAATATTGTAGGCAGAGTTATCCAACTTGTCAATCTGATGTACTATAAATTGTTACTATAAATAAGTATTGTAAGTTTAAATTGAATATCTCAAGCAATAATTGAGATATTTGACTTTACAAAAAACTTTAACCAAAATTTTTAAGTTAAAAAGGGGCATAATTCTGTAAATATTGTAGGCAGAGTTATCCAACTTGTCAATCTGATGTACATTGTTACTATAAATAAGTATTGCAAGTTTAAATTGAATATCTCAAGCAATAATTGAGATATTTGACTTTACAAAAAACTTTAACCAATGCAGACGCCATGCGGACGCCGAAGTCAGGGCGACTACAATAGCTCTCCATATTCTTAGAATAGTCAAGCTAAAAATAATATATACAAAATTAAATTTCTCGAAAATACTTTGTATATGATTCTAGATTTCTACAGGTTAGGTAGTTACCTACATGTGTGCATATATTTAATTATCCCATTAGTATGGTATATTTATAGATTCAAATGTTATCACTAAATAAATAGTTTGAAAGTTACACACTATAATGACTTTTTATTTGAATTACTATAAGTATAGCCGTTGAACGTCTGACGCCATCATGTACGCCCTTTTCTCATGCATACTTCTTTGAAAACAGTCTATAAATGCTGGGTCGTTGTCATTAACAAATTCATTGTATGTAAAAGTTGCTGACTGGATATATGGGAGAATATAAAAGATGCTGACATAAACATAACCCTTGGCCTAGTGCCTTGGATAATATTTTTCTCATTCAGGCTATATTCTCCCATATATATCCCATCAGCAACTTGTTTAACTACAAGTATATACATGTAAATGCTATACCTGAAATGCTAAAAATAGACAATGTACCAGGAAAATGTTTTTTTACAATGTAGTTTTTCAGCATTGTAAACAAATACATTTGAATTGACCAAATATATATAATTTGTGGGAAAATGTATAATACCCATAAACAAGACTAAAAACGTTTGTATTACAGCAATGTTTTCTTCATTTAATCACTTATTAGATTTCAAGAGTCAAACAAATAAAATATACAATAAAAATTTCATAAAACATTTTAATGTTTGCTAAATTTAGAAATCTAATAAGTAATCATAATTTACACTGAAAAAAAACTTAAACAAAAACTAATGAAAATATGTTCAAATTGCAAATCAAAATACTGAAGTACAGACAAGCTGGTTGGCAGTTTATGATCAATTTGCAAAATAACATAATATTTTAAACAATGTTTACACCCTTGGAAATGAAAATAAATACTGCACTGTCCAATGGGAATTTTTTTTCTTGCTACTTATTTTGCTACTTTAAGAAATGTTTTAAGTATCAGTATATTGATTTTGTGAACTATCATTTTCTTCAAATGACCTTGACCTTTATGACCTTTGCCTTGACAAGGCTTGGTTTTTAATATTATTTATGCTATATTAGTTTTATGTTTTATTTTTAAATAAGTATGTCCATACAAAATTTTGATAATAAATTATATATAAAATTTCCACATTTGACATTCACTTTCAGGACATACAAAAATAGTGGAAGTGACCTTGATTGATGTTAAATTTTGGAATCTAAATCACTTGTAGGCAAATTATTTTGGTATTGTTGAATGCTGTACACTTTAGTTATCACTTTAACATCTGGTTTGATCAGAAACATAGATAACATCTATGTCTCAGGGTTTAATGTTAAGTTGTTAATAATTTTAACTTTAAAAAAAAAAAAATATCTAATTAAAATAACTTTTTAGCAAGATTTTTTGCAAATGACCTTGAAATGACCTTGACTTTGAATTGATTACTTTAATATGTTAATTAAAAGTACTTGATCATAGAAGTAATAAACATGCAATCATTAATTGATATATTTGTAGATAAGAAAACTGCACATGACTTATAAAATTTCCTTCAATAAACAAATTCACAGTGGCGGCCATCTTGGATGCCATCTTGGATTTCTCAGCCCACACCACATAAAGAAAAAATATGCCACCATTTCCTGATATAAGATGCATTTGCGGCCATTTTGGTATATAACACATTTTGTTCTACTGTTATGAAAATTTCACTTAGATTCAGCACCAATTGTCACTATTATTTTCATCAACAGGAATATATTATTTTGTAAATTACCTACATGTTCATGTTAACGCCTTATTTAGACAATTTTTTTTATTATCTTAGAAAGAACAAGAAATGTGTGCTAGAGAACAAGAGATGCCCCCGCATGCAGCCTAAATTACAGATGTTATAATATTTAGTTCCAAATTTGTTTGCACAAACTTTTTTTCATTTTAAGTTCAAAATCCAGAAAACTATTCACTGTTAACACACACCATTTTTATACAAAGTTCAAGGCACTGAAACCATTCAGTGTTAACCTTTTGTAAATTGCATATTTCATATTTGTACCAAAATAATGACTACATACATTTCCTCAAAAGTATGAGTGCTGAAACTGAAAATTCAAAATTTTTTCCAACACTCAAGAGAGATAACTTTGTCCAAAATCATTGAACCATGACCAAATTCAAACTTGAACCGCTTATTCCTAAGATGTATCTTAATCTATATGTCAAATTTGAGTTGAATGTGTACAACCATTGTGGAGATAATGAACAGAAACTAAAAATTTCTGATCTTTTTCAAAGTTAAAGAGGGATAACTCTGTCAGCTATCATCAAACCATTACCAAATTCGAACTTGACCAGTGTATTCTTATGACATATCGATATCTTAAATTTGAGTTGAATATGTACAACTGTTGGGGAGATAATGAACTTTACCTGCCCATTCCTTTGACGTATCCATAAAATTATGCCAAATTTGAGTTGAATGTGTAACAAGACCTGTCACCTAAGTAACGAATGCCCCCAAAAAGGTTTCTTAAGCATGCAGGTATTATGAAAAGAAAAGAGAATTAAAGTAACTAATTGCTTAATATTGTTCTTTGTATAATTGTACCTGTGAGAGCATGAACCTTCAAAATATAAGTGTGACCTTGACCTTTGAAGAAGGGACGTTGTTCCTGGAAGCGATAGAATGCTGTTAAGAGATAGACATTTGTGCTAAGTTATTTCAAAATCCCTCAATGCATGACAAAGTTTAACAGTCTGTTGTGTAAGTGGGGACACATGGACAGACGGACATAAGCCTAAGCTGTGACACATTGTCTTGATGTGGTAGACATTTGTGCCAAGTTATTTTAAAATCCTTTCATGCATGACAAAGTTACAGTACGGACATGAATGGGTATCTTCAAACTCTTCTCGAGAGAATGAGTACATTCAAACTAGAAGTGTGACCTTTACCTTAAAGGTAGGGACATGGGTCTTAGTCACGACATGTCGTCTTGATGTGGTAGACATTTATGACTAGTTATTTTAAAATCCTTCGATGCATGACAAAGTTACAGTCCGGACACAAATGTGTGTACCTATAAACTCTAATTGTGATAAAGTGAACTTCAAAATGGCAGTGTGACCTTGACCTTAGAGGTAGGTACGTGATTATTGGATGAGACACATCGTCTTGATGTGGTAGACATTAATGCCAAGTTATTCTTAAATCCTTCCATGCATGACAAAGTTACAATCCGGACACAAATGTGTGTACCTATAAACTCTTATTGTGATAAAGTGAAACTTTAAAATGTAATTGTGTGACCTTGACCTTTGAGGTAGGGACGAAATTCTTGGACGCGAAGCATCTTCTTGATGTGGTAGTCATTTATGCCAAGTTATTTCAAAATCCCTCAAAAAATCCCTCAATGTATGACAAAGTTACAAGCCGGACACGAAAGAAGTGGGGACACACAGACGGACGTACTTACTAAATGGTACTTGTGTGACTTTTCCTTTGATCTTTTCAGCCATTTTTAGTTACACAAGGCCTAAAAAAAGACACACAAGTAAAAACGGAATGAATAAGATCAAAGGAAATGTACCTTTACCCATTGTTCTCCAAGTCACACAAGTACCTCTGGGTTTGTACGGACAGACAGACGGACATCCGACCAAATAGGGATAAAGGGCCATTTCTATTGTCATTTTCTTTTGTTTAATAGAGGGCCATGGCCCCTTATTCTGTTGTTACGGAATGAATTCTACTGTTCTCCTTTGTTCTGTTTACAGTTAGATGGCCCCCTATCCCTATCGGTAGTGCGGACGGACAGACAGACGAACATACAGACGGTGCAATTTTAATATGCCTCCCTTTCGGGGCATAATAAAATGGCTGGGGCATATAGTGTTACCCTGTTTGTCATTCTGTCCTTCCGTCATTTCCTTTTTTTTTTCAAACTTAAAGGGGCATTTCTCTGCAAAATAATCATCAAACCATGACAAAATTTGAACTTGACCTGCGCATTCATTTGACGTATCCATATGTCAAATTGGAGTTGAATGTGTAATACTGTTGGGGAGATAATGAACGGAAACTGAAAATTTCATATTATTTTCAAAGTGAAAAGGGCATAACTCTTCCAAAAATCATCGAACCATAACCAAATTCGAACTTCATCTGTGCATCCCTTTAACAAATCCTTCTGTCAAATTTTAGTTAAATGTGTAATACCGTTTGGGCAATAATGAACAGAAACTGAAAATTTCATATTATTTTCAAAGAGAAAGGGGCATAACTCTGCCAAAACTCATCAAACCATGACCAAATACAAACTTGACCTGCGCATTCCTTTGACATATCCATATGCCAAATTTGAGTTGAATGTGTACAAACATTACTAAGATAATGAACGGAAACTGATGATGACAGGACAGAACAGGGTAACACTATATGCCCAAGCCATTTTATGGCGGGGGCATAATAAAATCAATTACATAATGTCAAATTTCTCCATATTGTTATATATTCATACACAAAGTTTCAACAACTGAGCTTAAATTAATGTTTCTTTGACCTCAAGAGATTCATATTTCAAGACAGACTGACAGACAATAGTCTCCCTTCCAGATGATCAAATATATGAAGAACTATCAACACTTAGTTCCTTTTCTTAATCAAACTACAAAGTCCTTCATTCTTTTTAACCAATTGAAGTTATAACTGGCAAAGAAATTTCTTCTTATTTACAATGTTACACTATTAGTTGAATATTTTCCTCTTTCTTTCCGGTTTGAACATTAGACGTTTAACAGTGTAGTAAGTTATACATAAACTAACTTCCTGTCCTGAAACAATTAGTGATCCACAACCTATCATACAGAATAAACTATGCTATTTTTGACTTCTTTTCCTCAGAAGAACTTTCCCCAGTCTCTTCGCCTGAACTAACTTCATCGCTGTCCACAACTGGTTTAAACACATTCATTCTATAATATTTTAGTTCTTCTATACTTTCTTTAATGTCATCTAAAGCTCTGCAAAAAGAAAAAGTGTTTTTAATATAAAAAATCTAATGATAAAGTCAGATGAAATTATTATGACATTAAATTAATTTAATACAAACTTCTGGACAAGCATTTCAAGAGTATAATCAAAGTATCAACATTTAGTGATATGTGTTTAGTATAATTTTACTGTTTAAAAAGCCTTTATTTACACCTATCAGTTCTGTCATTTCTCTATAGGGTGCTCCACTGGGAATGGATTGACATTACAAACAAGTGGGCCATGATGGCCCTGAAATCGCTCATCTGAATATAGAATCTCTTCATGACAAGGAACAGGTAATATTGTAAACTTTAAACAAAGGCAAATATGAAATATAAATTTTAAACTGATATCACAAAGTTCATATTTGTATCTGAAATAGTGCATATGTAAAAACATTACTGGTTGCTATTGCTTAGGGAAAACAACAGTTCCAAAAGATGTGTACATATTACGAAAATCAATGACCGCATCGGGTGGGGCTAATTTTGACCCCTGGGCTTTTATTTGAAAAAACTTGGTAGAAACTCACAAGAAAATGTTCTCAAGCTCTTTGGTTTTTTTAAAAGAAGATTTTTTCCCCTATATACATACAAAGCAGTCGGAAGGACAGCTAAATCCCCTTTCGCAGTGAACATGTATGTGTACTTCTTGACCTTCTGCCAACCATGACCTTGATGTTGTGTCATGCATATCATAAGCACATAGTCTCATGATTGTGATTAATTGTGCCAAGTTTTTTAAAATCTTCACAAAGTCAAAAAGTTATGAAGAACATAGTAAACAGTTTTCATAATTTTATTTATCATATCACTTTATGTATAACCAAGAAAAAATACTTTGTAAAATGTAATTCCTTTTATTGTCACTGTTTTTAAAATTGATTTAATTTTTCTATAACAGTTTATTCTAGCACTTTTCGTTTCGTTCTGTCTGTTTAACAATGTGCGATAGCTTATATACAGTCTGAAAAGGAGCGGGAAATACTTGTCATGTGACCAGAATAACAACGCGTTCTACAAGTACCGTTCTACGATTTTAAAGTAAACAATCGAGATAGCACCACTCATATAACAATGACTCACGTTATTCGCGACATTCCCACCACAAAAAGAAATAAACTAAATTAATGAACATAATTATATTTATAAAAATTCCAGATGTGTATTGAAATTTCATAAAGTACAATTGTAACTCCATCATCTGAATGACTTTCGGTTGCAATATTAAAGTAGTCCTGCAATCCAGATGGTACTAACTGAAATCTTGACACTTAGTCCAATAAAAATGCTGTTATCAGGTAGCACAACACAATTCAACTCTTTTATTTCATAATTAAAGGCCTCCGGCCCAAAATATATAACAAATAATACAATAGCATTTGAATCAGGTTATGTCAATATATCAGTATTTATGACATGAATTTCAACATAATAGCAGTATCTACGACATTGTCTATCAATTTCACTATAGTAGCAGTGTTTATAACACTGTCCATCAACCCAAACATAATAGCAGTATTTATGACATTGACATTAACTTCAATACAATAGCAGTATTTATGACATTGTCTATTAACTTCAATACAATAGCAGTATTTATGACAATAGCAGTATTTATGACACTGTCTATTAATTTCAATGTAAAGCAGTATTTATGACATTATCTACTAACTTCAACACAATAGCAGTATTTATGACATAATCTATTAACTTCAATATAAGAGCAGTATGTATGACATTGTCCATTAACATCAATAAAATAACAGTATTCATGACATTGTATATCAACCTGAACATAAAGCAGTATTTATGACATTGTCTATTAGCTTCAATATGATAGCAGTATTAATGACATTGTCTACTAACAATATAATAGCAGTATTTATCACACACCCGTGCCAACTTTGCGACTCCGCAAAAAAGGCACCGCAAGACCGTGCATAAATTTCGACGTGACATCATTACCGTCATATAAACATAGTGTAAAGACTGGCTATGTGCTAGCGTTACACGAGTACAAAAAACAACCCCTCCAACTTTAAACGGACTTCATTTTGGGTATGTGATAAATAAAATTCCTCTAAGTTCAATACTGAATTCACTGAAACTCATTGAACAAAACAATATCATGCTCGCCAGACTCTGGCTAGCATAATATAATTTTATTCAACTTGTGCAATAAATTTAGCATTGAACTTACACTCATTCAACATCCTATATTTAGAACATTGTCTACTAACTTCAATATAATAGCAAGACCTATGACATTGTCTATTCAACATCAATATAATAGCAGTAATTATGAAATTGTCTATAAATTTCAATATAATAGCAGTATCTATGACATTGTCTATTAACTTTTAATACATATAATTCCATAAGATAATAAATATATGTAGATAATTTTCGCAGAGTTTCATCATTACAAGTTGATAACAATTATAAAAGTTGTCCACACTAGTTCCAGAATTATACCAGTTAAATAGATATAAATTTCTAATATCGGTATATTTACAACAATGGAAAAATGCATGATATTCACAGTCTATACACCTTTTGTTCCTTTCTAAGCAAAAAGTACATAAACGATCATTGTATGAAATATCTAAATGTCTGCCTATCTCTATGTATAATTTATGATTTGAACATCTAAACTTTGTTAATGCAATTTTATGTTTTAAAGGCATATCAATGGACAAATATCGTTCAACATTAAGTAAACTCTTAAAATGATTATAATGATGACAACGACTTGAGTTATATATATTATCATGCCAGTTCTGAGTAGAACAATCTATCAATCTGTTTCTAAACATTTTAATAAACAATTTACAATCACCAACAGTTTGTGATATCCATGCATATCCAAATCCGTATTGGAATAAAAGTAATTTAACATTTGTTGCCCAGCAATTTCTTCCAGTATTGTCAAGAGCATAATTTTAAGTAGCATTGTTTTGGGTATCTGTGAGAAGGCATTTGTGTTATAATTATGTAATGCATAAAGACAGACGTCCACATTCCCCTAACACCATACATGTATTTGTAGTTTGACGTACATATAAAAGTTTTCTACAAAATTGATTATGTAAAGATTCAATTTTGGAACTATATTGATATCCCCATACTTGGGAACCGTAACATAAAATTGGTTTGATACAGGTGTCAAAAATCTTGAAAAAATCCTTAATTGGAAAATAACCAAATGGTTTCTGAAAATGGCGTATAGCATTAAGTGCTCTTTGAACTTGACAAGCTAATTTTTCGTGTGCCTTATTCCAAGACAATTTTGGAGTAAATAATAATCCCATGTACTTATATAATGAAGTGGTGTTTATAGCGTAGTCTCCATAAACCAATTTTTCATACCTTCTAAGGGGACCACCATTACGAAAAACAATAATTTCAGTCTTATCAAGATTAACTTACATACCAGTATTATTACAAAATTGTTCAACAACATTTATTTGCTATTGTAACTTTGAAGCCGTTTCGGCACAATTAGCAACATCGTCTGTAAACAAAAGACATAGTATATCAGGGATTTCATTTGTTATAAAAATACCGGTATGACAATTTTGTCTCAACATGAGGGATAATTCGTAAATAAATAATGAAAAAATTGTAGAACTTGTTTTATCTCCTTGCCAGGTTCCAATATTACAAGGGAAGTAACCTGTAGTTCCATTTGATAATTTGACACAAGATTCTAAACATGCATACATAGATTTTAATATTCTTAAGAAATTATCATGTAAACCTTTCCTTTCTAGAGCTTCAAACAGCTTAGAATGGTTAATTTTATCAAATGTTTCACGGAAATCAACATTAAGGCAATAAAAGCTACCACCCTTTTTAGAATGATATTTTTGAATCATTGCCTGAAGACATAATATATTATCAACCGCTGAATATCCTCTACAAAAACCAGCTTGTGACTCATCAATTTTGTTATATCTTTCAGTCCATTCATACAATCGTTTATTAATAACACCTGCAAATATTTTATACATGGTATTTGTAATTGAAATACCTCGATAATTACCAGGAATATTTTTAGGATCAGATTTGTGTATAGGGGTAATAGCACTTTTACCCCATGACTGGGAAAATATACCAGTTTGTAAAATTTTATTGGACAATATTAACGAAGTTGGAGCAACGTCGTCCATTGAGTATTTGTAAAACTCAGCCGGGATTCCATCAAAACCACGACTTTTGTTATTAGAAAGTTTTGATATAGACAAAAGAATTTCTTCTAATGTAAACATCTGATTTAAAGAATTGGCTGTAATGTCTGCATGAATATGTTCGTTACCTAAATTGGGATTTACAGTAGTTATGTTCTCATTAAATAATAAACTATGAAACTAAGAAAACCATTTTTCTGTATTTATACTATTATCAATTGTTGACACTGGTTTATGCCGTTTTAGAATTTTCCAAAACAAGGTAGCATTATCACTTGCATCTATTAAATCTTGCCAATTAATTCTCTGATACTCATACAATCTTAAATTGCAATAATTTTTAAAATCATTACGTTTGTCCTTATATGCTCTCAAGTCAAGCTCTAGATTTGATGATCAGAATTTCCTAAGAGCTTTAAAATTCACAGATTTCAGGTAATCACATTTCTCATCCCACCATGGTGGTTGAGAAGATACCTTTCTAAAAGTTCGTAACATACACTCACCAGCGTTCTGATAAATCAAAGTTAACCAGTCTATCACCAAATTTACGTTATCAGCAATAGAGCTTTCGATACAGGCTTTATTTTCGATCAACAAAGATTTTAACTTACTAATAAACGTATCTGTTAAAGAATTACACCATCTAAAATTCTGTAGATTATGATAAGAATTATATTCATTTTTAGACTGAATATTATATTTAGTGTTTAACTCAACACATGAAATAGGAAAATGATCTGATTCATCCCTATTTAAAACCTTGAAATCCTTAATATATGTAAACAGCCCTGT